ATCTCCAGAGTCAGCATCTCAGTGAGCTCAAACAGCATGTGACAATTTACCAATATAATTAATACAAAAAGGCATTTGTTTTTCTTTAGCCTAAAAGTTTTAAATTGTTTATCTATGTTTTACTTTTAAACTAAGGCAAGACTTAACTCAAATGGTGAATTCCTTTGAAGAGGCCTGTCAGTCTGGATTAGAAAAAACATTTTATAATTTATTATACCTAATCTTGGATTAAGTACCCATAACCTGGGGAATAAGGAACATAGAAAACAATGTTACCTAAAAGAACTTGTAAAGAGACAATATCACAACACTCTTTTCCTTTAGTCTGTCCCTGACACTGTACCTAGAAAGTACCCAGGGAACGATGGGGCAGGAACAAAAGCAAGCATAGAGCAACTGAGCATCAGAGAGGGAAATACTCTATTTCAGAGAAAAGTAGGCTTGGAATCACAATGTAGAAAGGGGAGGGATTAAGACCAGTGGAGGCCAAATCTTAAGCCTCCGACCCAAGTAGACTATCCCTTTTTACCACCCATTGTTTTAACTATGTGCTGGTAGCAGCTTGCCTTTTGTGAGGTTTGGCCCTGGAGTACAGTGAATTCCTATGAGCTTCCCAGGTCTAGCCATCACAATGTGTCAGCTCCCTTTGTACTTGGATAGTCTTGAAGGCATATGGCTAGAAAAACTTTAAGTTTCCTTTAGAAACTGACAAATATTTTTGGCAAAACAGAATTTAAAAGTCATTTTTAGAAATCAGCAAATATACCATATAAAAGGTGTCTAAAGTCAAATAATTTCTTTAAAACTATTAGGTAAAGATGTCATGTAAACAATATCAAAACCTAAAAATAATTTTTTTTTTGTCTTTTTGAGACAGGGTCTCCCTGTAGCCCCAGCTGGCCTGGAACTCACTTATGTAGACCAGGCTGGCCTTGAACTCACAGAGATACACCTGCCTCTGCCTCCCAAGTGCTGGGATTAAAGGTGTGCGCCACCATGCCCAGCCTTGGGCGTTTAAAAAAATAATTTAAAAAAAAATTTTTTTAAATAATTTTTTTTAAATCTGTAAATATTTTAAGCAATATAAAAACTTAAAAGTCATCTTTCAAAACCAGTAAATATACCATACAAGAAGTTAAAACTCAAAGTAATTCCCTTTAGAAACAGGCCCAAACAATGTTAAAGTTTAAACTCCCATTGTGGAGATCTGGCATTACTTCCTTAGTCTGAAAAATCCCATTCCCCACCAGGATACAAGCCCTGTGGGATTCATATGCCTCACAGATTAAATGTAGACAGCAACCATTCTTACTTTTACAATGCACCCCAGTTAGGTTAGACTTGATATAACAGGAGAAAATACCTTCATATATAAATATATATAGGCCCCAAATAGAAAAGCAAAGGAATTTGTCTCTCACCAACCACTGTAGCTGTAATGCCAAACAAAGTTCTCCAGATATCTTCATTCCTGGATACCAGCTATGCTGGAAAAGACACTCTGAAGGCAGCAAAAGGAACAGGGCACTATGTCCAGCACATAAATCCAGCACTGGGTTGTTGCTCTGAAAGCATATGTCTTGTCTGGGCACATCCTGTGACTTTCCATGTACACTGAAACTTAAAATGGTTAGATCTAGTTAGAAAAGCAGCCATCTCAGGACCGCATGGGCTGAGCACAGCTTGTTTGGTGCCCAATAGGGCCTAAGATCAAAATTTCAAGAGAAATTTTTCTGCCTGAGAAAAAGTTTAGGGAAAAAAAATGGCTTTTAAAATATTTTTCCCATTTGTCCATGGGATAAGCCGCCTTAAATTCTTTTTTTTTTTTTTTTTTTTTTTTTTTTTTTTTTTTTTGTCTTTTTGAGACAGGGTCTCCCTATAGCCCCAGCTGTCCTGGAACTCACTATGTAGACCAGGCTGGCCTGGAACTCACAAAGATCCACCTGCTTCTGCCTCCCAAGTGCCGGGATTAAAGGCGTGCGCCACCATGCCCAGCTTAAATTCTTTAAATGCTCCACCAAAGCCACCTATCCACTTCAGCCTAAGCCTGAATGCCCTGAGGCAAGATAACAAAATGGATAAGGATTTACCTGCTCCCTTAAGAGCCAAATTCAGTGTGTGCTTGAAAAATCCCTGCATGACCATCAAATAAATAAGCTATTAGAATTTTGGGGCTCCCTCAGGTTCCCAGGGGTGTTGCCTGTGACAGGAAAGGAAAGGGGGGTGAAACACTGAGTCCTGGAGGAACGTTCCTGAGGCCCGGATGTCACGGGGAATTGCTAACTAGTCCAGAGCGCAAGCCTGGCCACAAATTTCAGAAAACCAGCAACTGCCGTATAAGCTTTTAACTGGTCATTGTGTTACCGGGTTTTTCAGTAGAGAGACATATAGATAGGAGGTCTTTGCTGACACCCAGGCAGGGGGCAGTGGGGGGCGGGGAAAATCTGTTCAGAGGACTAGGAGCCTTCAGCTAACATCAGGGAGTGGCCCTGATCAGAAAGCTTCAATTGCTCTTTCGTCTTGAATGGTCCTGCCAGGAGACCATTGCTCACCAGAAGGTCAGGGTGAGGAGCAAGACCACTGAGGGGAGGGAGGGCAGCAGTGAGTAGGATGGGAAGAAAACACCCAGGAGACTGTCAGTGGACAGCTCGTTTATTACGGGGAAGCAGAGGTTTATATAGGAAAGTTTCGTGGGCAAAGAGGCGAGGATTGGGTTTTTGGTGGGCAGGCAGGTGGGGGGACGGGGGGACTTCTAAGGCTACATGGCCTTTGTCCTTTCCTCCAGTCTCATGATCTACAAGGGACCTGGTTAGGATTACAGGATTAGGGACTTAATAGTTTTGCTTGGGGGTTGTTGGGTAAGAGACAGTGTATCTAGAATGGAACGGGCCAGTTTCCTGCCATCCTCACTAGGAGGTATCCAGCCTGGCAGCCATGCTCTACATTCCAAGCACTCCTGACTATCCCAATATCACGTAACTTCCTGGAGCAGCTTATTTCTATTCAACCCAGATAGAGTTCTGACAAAACAAAGAAATGGGTATATCCAAGTCTACCTTTGTAAACCAAGGAGATTATACTATTTTGGCTTAATTATGGGAGCATAGGTGAGGAGAAACCCCCAGGAGTGTGGGTACATTGTGGATACCCCCTCCTATCCCGAGCATGTTTGGCAAAGAAAGTTTGTCACCAGAGTCTCCATCCATGAGTAGTAGTTTCCAGCTCATAGGCTTATATGACACGTGGAAGAGGTGCTTGGACCCTCTCTTCCCCCTCTAGGAGGGAAAATTTCAATTCTATGGTAACAGCAATACAACTTTCTTTCCTGAACATATGCTTATGTCCCCAAGTTCTTGATCCTTTGACTCTCCCAATTCAGAGCTACCTATGGGCTCTTGAAAGCTGAGTATCTTGAAATAATGATCTGAATATACAGAACTAAATTAAATACACTATTAAATTGATTCCATATGTTTCTTATTAGTATGACTTCTAGAAATTTTGAGATTTCCTTTTAACACCCATTGTGTTTGCATTGGAGAGCTCTGCTCCCAAGAATGATCAAATTCCAATTTTATTTCTTACAAGAATACTTGGTCACATGTTTGCAGTCGTGCACCCTGTCAGGTGCTCATCATGTCTGACCATCTGTCACCTGTGCTGCTGAATTTGGTCAATGGGTGCAGGTGTGGTCATCCCAATCCTGCTTTGAGGCGACCCCAGTGGCTTTTCCCCATATAGGAGCTCTTGGACAGGAGGAAAAGTGCTGCCACAGCCACTGTCTTGGGCTGCATGGTCGACTGTAGTCCTGCTGTAATGCAGGTCTTCCCTCCATCAGATCTTTAACATAACACAGATTGGATCCAATAGAAAAGATGAGCTTTTTAAATTTGAAAATCTTCAAATTTAAATGTGTTTGTGATGATCCATTAATCAGGCAGAATTTATAGACTCATGCCCTTTGCACTGTCAGACCCACCCCAGTCCATCTCCTTGGGACTTGATGACAACCACTTTCTAGACATTTCAAATGCCACCTCTCCTGATCAAATGCCCCAGTTGCAGAAAGCTAGCTTTATCAATCAGCCACATCCCTCCCTCCTAGGAGGACTGTTTGTTAAAACAACCTGTCTCCTTGAGCAAATGGTCCCAAGAAGGAATCATAAACCCTCTGTCTCTTAAAATAAACCTGAGAAGATGGTGCCAGAAAGAAGGGGGGCCACAAGGAGGCCATAAACTTCTGAAAGGAGCTGCCGATCTGCACATAGCCACCGCTTTATCCTACATAAGCCCCAAGGGCCCCTTCCCAGGGCAGCAGTGGCTTCCAGCACTCAAGAAGGCTTCTGTCCCTCTCTGAGGTGCTTCAGTAAACTCAGTCTTGTTGTGAGGGTAGGTATGGGCTCTGCTTTCTCTCCTGTTGTTTCTGTATTCTGCACCCCCAAACCCAACATCTCCCCTTACACAGAGCTCTCCGGCACTCCCTTAAGTTGTGGATAAACTTACCACTCCTTCTTCTTTTGAATTCTTTTCTCCACCTTTCCCTTTCAACTTGTGACTGAGTAGCATGCCCACCCTTCCCAGCCATTTGAGTCATATAGATTTCCAAAATGTTCTTTTTTTTTTTAATGCCTTTATATAGGTCTTTGTGTCTGCTATTGTACAAGTTTCTGAAATTCTATGAGTAGAAGCTGGTATGTTGTCGATCACCGGCAACCCAGCACAGCTACACACAGGTGCTTAACAAGCTTTCCTGATGCGTGATTTTGTTAGAAAACCAAAGAGGATCCACTTCTGGCCCCCCGGGAAGGGGAGGACAGTATTAAATAGGTGCCTGGTTATTTTTTACATTGTTTTTTATGACCCAAAGTACAAAATGAAATAGGTATATTGGGGAAAGCCTAATGATGTGTCCCTGGGAGAAAATCACTAAAAACGCATCCCCATGTGTAACAGCCTATTTGTCAATGTTAACTCACAGTGAAGTGGGTGTGTTGTTACAGAGATTGGTGTCAATTGAGGATGTGACTGTGGATTTCACCCAGAAGGAGTGGCGGCACTTGGACCCTGCCCAGAGACGCCTGTACCAGGACGTGATGCTGGAGATCTACAGCCACCTCTTGTCAGTGGGTGAGCACAGCTAGGGATCTAGGACCGACCTCCTTTCCCTGTTTCTCTTTGCCAAGCATGATGGAATATCGGAAATCTGTCATGACATCTCTCTTTCTTTCATCCTGAAGCTTCATTCCTTTTGGATACTTCCATGGTTACATTGTACCACCAAGCCCGATGGCCTGAATTTGATGCACGGAGCCCACATAGAACCAGAAAACCCTATGACCTCCATACACAAACCATGGCATGTGTCTGTCTGTCTCTCTCTCTCTCTCTCTCTCTCATTCTCTCACTCTCACACACACAGTAGATGTTACATTGTTTTTATAGTAAAGAAGGACAATTTGCCGAGTGTAGGTATATGGCTCAAGAAGGAAAACTCGCTTAGCCTGGGTGAGGCTCTGCTCTGACCCTAACACAGGAGGAAAAGTGACAAACATAACAAAGTAAATGAGAAGGGAGGCAAAGGGCACGAACACACGTTTCTCCAGAGCTAACGAAGCCCTCTTAGTCCCTTCCTCAGACCCCGGCTGTCCACTCGCAGTGCCCAAAGCACTTTGTCTGCTTCTACCCCTACCTACTCCATCTCTTGTATAAGCTGAACAGATTGTCTGTGTCTAAACCAGATATTCCCCCACAAATTAGCTAAGTGATCTCAGCCACTGACTGACACATTCTGTGATTCCAGTTCCTCTCATGAAATGAGGAGAGTAGATCTCATCTGCTGTGGGTTATCTTGTGTTCATGTGTCCACTGCATACCAACTTCCGAGCACAAATGGGTGCTGTGTACATGAACACAAGACACACAAGAAGGGCTGTGCTGTGTGCTGCTCGCCGTCACCGTCAGCAGCATTACTACCTGACTCCCATTTCTCTGTGTTCAGCGTCAGCTCTGTGTGATTCCTCCTCCATCCTGCTCACTGTGTCTTTTCCTTCTTCGTCTCTTTCTCTTCTCTGCAGGGGAACTGGAGATTGAGACGCCACATCAACAAATTTCTGTGAATGCTTCATTTCCAAATGATTTCTCAAGAGAAATCACAAGGCATGGCTCATATAGTTCTGTTTTAGAAAAACTGTGGCAGAATGCTGACCCTTCAAAGAGAGATCAGCAAAGCCCGATCCCACCCTTGAGTCCTGGAAACAAGAAAAAACTGAGCACAGAGACTGGGCAGTCGATTCCTTTGGGATCCCACGACATTTCTGTACAAAAGGGACATCAGAGATGTTCCTCATCAGCAAAAAGTGTGAAGCCTAACCTTGAAACAAATGCTGATAATCAAAGCGGTGCCACCCGTCAGGTTGATGGCATTGTGGGTTCTCAGCAGCTCTTCACACAAAGCTCTTCAGATGCAATGTGTACAGTTCCTCATCAAGGAGAGGAGTCATGTAATGACACTCAGTCTGGAGAAGTTCTCTGTCTTAAGCAACCACTCACAGAGCATGAAATTAACTGTCGGGACAAGCCAGTTAAATATAACAGATACAGGAAGCTCATCACTAGAAGTTCTGCTTTACCTCAACAGCAGATAACTAACACTACAAAGCCCTTTACCCGTTGCACATCTGGGAAACCCATCCTTCAGAAGTCTGAGTTGACCTCCCATCCAGGAACTCCCAAAAGAAAGAGACCTTATGAATGTCCTGACCATAAGAAATCACTTAGGGGTACATCCAACCTGCAGGTGCACCATGAAATTCACACCGGTGAGAAGCCTTATGAATGCCACATCTGTGGGAAATCATTCAGTGGAACATACAAACTAAAGGTGCATATTCGAATACATACAGGCGAGAAACCGTATGTGTGTTCTGACTGTGGGAAGGCCTTCAGTGAAAACTCGGTCCTCACTGTACATCAGAGAATTCACACTGGAGAAAAGCCTTACACATGCAGTGACTGTGGGAAAAAGTTCGTTTCTTCATCAGATCTGAGGAAGCATGCCCGATTACACACAGGGGAGAAGCCTTACAAATGCCCTGACTGTGGAAAGTTTTTCAGTATTAAATCCAACCTGCTTGCACACAATCGTATTCACAGCAGTGAGGGATCTTACAAATGCTTTGACTGTGGGAAACTATTTAGGAAAATATCCCTACTGAAGATTCATCATCGAATTCATACTGACGGGAGATCTTTTGTGTGTTCTGACTGTGGGATGGCCTTCAGCCAAAAATCAGTCCTCGCCACACATCAGAGAATGCATACTGGGGAGAAGTGTTACCCATGCGGGGACTGTGGAAAATTGTTTCTTTATGCTTCAGATCTGGAGAAGCATCGTCGATTTCACAAGGCAGAGAAGCCTTACAAATGCCATGACTGTGGCAAATCATACGGTCTCAAATCCCACCTAGATGTGCATCAGCGAATTCACACTGGTGAGAGACCATACAAGTGCACCGAATGTGGGAAATCATTCAGAAGCAACTCTTACCTTCAGAGCCATCAGCAAACTCACACTACTGAGAGGCCTCACAAATGCTGTGACTGTGGGAAATCCTTCACAACCACCTCTCATCTGCAGAAGCATCAGAAAACTCACACTACTGAGAGGCCACATAAATGTTGTGACTGTGGGAAATCCTTCAGGACAGCATCCAACCTGAAGGTGCATCATCGAATTCACACTGGTAAGAAACCGTACGTGTGTTGCGAGTGTGGGAAGAGCTTCCGTCTCAGGTCAGTCTTCATCACACATCAGAAAATTCATGCTGGGAAGAAGCCTTACACATGTAGTGACTGTGGAAGAGACCTGTCTTCTAAAGCCAATCTCAGAGCGCATCAGCGAATTCACACAGGAGAGAAGCCGTATATATGCCACGAATGTGGGAAGGCCTTCAGTAGCAACCCTTCCTTCTACAGACATTGTAAAATTCACAGTAGAGAGCGTTTGTCTATCAAAAATGGGAGAACGGCTTCCTGCAGAATTCACAGTTGACATCTCAATAAATTCACAGTGGAAAGAAAATTTAGAAAAGTAACTGCGGGATTCTTTCTGTGATACGTTTCAACTGCTGTATCGTTGAAGTCACACCTATTAGCACTACTACGACTTTGGGAAGTCTATCACAACTCTGCATGCATCATCCAAGTCATACCAGGAAGACACCTTGTGTGTGTTGTGAATACAAAGTCCTTCAAAATCATGCCATCTCAGTGGACTCAAGCAGTCACACAGGCACTGTTTCTACAGACACATGGTCGATGAAAGCATTTACCACAAAATCAGTTCCTCATACATATCCCTCACCAAAATAGTCTTGGTTTACATGGAAAGTAATAGTTTCTAACTGACTTAAATAGGGCTGGGAAGATATCATGCTTAGTTGGTAAAGTTAAGCCTTAGAAGCATGAGAACC